ATATATGTTTGAAGAACATATATGCCATCAAAAAGTTTTCTCTTTGAAAAGTTGGGAATTCTGTAAATTGGCAAATGTATATTTTGACTTGCACATAAATTTTGTCAAATTTATGTCGTCTTTGATGAGATTATTGATTCCTACAAATAAGAAGAAACTTGCATCTCTTTGACTTATTTCAATATCAGAGCCTGTCTGTTGTTTCTTGTGTGTGAATGTCATTACTAGTATTACATTAAGGTATGTTGTTTGAAAAAATTTCCTTTCCTATTAAGATACAATTTTTTTAGCAACCTATGGAGGTAAGATGATTTGAGTTCTTGATTTTTGTATATATCATATATATTGACTCCAAAACTGAGTAAAAGAGAAATAAAACTTCCTGATGATGGTCATAGAGGGCATCACTTCACTTGGGTTAGGTTTATCCCTTTGCATCCCTCTCAGAAGAGATCATATCCACAATCTTTGAATGCCTTTATGAAGATCCAGAAACCCTTGAGGATAATTTATTTTCCCTTGCTAATAAGAATTGCTACGTTCAATTAAATGATCCCTCAGCTGGGGATAAAGAGATTGAGGAAATAATTGAAAGAATTGTTTGAGGGTTGTTTTGTGTGCTTGGGTATACAGCATGAATTTAGGTATAAGCCACTGGTTCATGACGTGCTTGAGTCTTTGAAGCTGTTTGAGCACATTTGTTGGCATCAACTATGTAGGCATAAGCTAATGAAACTTGGAGTCTAATGAAACAACATATGTAGGGATCAACTATGTAGGCATAAGCTAATGAAACTTGGAGTCTTTGAGGCTATTTGAGCACATTTGTAATCAAAATAAGATTCTCACAGGACCCGCAACAAATCCAAAATCCTCAAAGTTATCTTTTGTGCCAGAATATTAGTGTTCAATCTTGTCCTGCGAGAGTCAAATTCCTCAACCGTGTCTAACTACTCTACATTGCCCAAAAATAGCACTGAGGCATAAACAAAGACTAGGAAGAATGGGATAAGAACTAGCAATTTAATCTGGGCAGTGGGCAGCATACAATGGTTCTACTTTTGGCTACAAATTTTTAAAGATAGATTGAATAATATAACTTTGTGTTTTAATAGTAAATTGATTGATGACTGATCTAAATTTACGTTACCCTTATTAAGAAAATAATGTCTTTTGCAGGGAGAAAACAATTGCAATATATTATTTTTTTTAAAAAAATTTCATTCAAATTAGCGACGGAAATAGAAACGGAATTCTGTTTCTAATCATCGACGCAAATAATCCATAGGTAATTTGCAACGACAAAATCCGTAGGTAATTTGTGACTGCATATTCCGTAGGTGATTTGCGACGATTTATTTCCGTCGCTATTCACCGACAGCTAATATAATCCGTCGCTAATTTTACCGGCGGGGTGTTTGCCGACGGATTTATCAACGGGCGAAATCCGTCTCTGAAGCTCATTTCCAACATATTTCGGGGCTTCAGTGACAGATAATTCCGTTTCTGAAGCCGCTTTTTTTGTAGTGCTTGTGGATGCCGGGCAGAGGAAGATATTTTTTGTGTGATGGAGAGTTTTGGTTACTGTTTGAAGAGACTGTTCATTTCGATGCAGACAGAGTCATTTCTCAGGTGGAGAAATTTTGAAGTTTATTGCACTGAAATTTCGGTCAAGGTGGAGATTGTTGGGACTGGTGACCCAAATTGGGTTACCATATGAGGAAGAAACGTGATCAATTGAGATTGGAAACTATCAAACAAGATCTGAGATTTATGGTAATAAAATCTTGTTTTGGCTGCCTTTTACACGTTTTCTTCATTATTTCCATATCTTGACATGTCCCTAGGTTTTGTACGTGTAGTATAAATAGGGATGCTCTTCTTTTAATTAAGTAGAAGCTTAGATAGGGATGCTCTTCTTTCAATTAAGTAGAAGCTTAGATTGCTAAGTTTACATTGTATTCTCTCCATATTATTGAATAAAACATCGGTTCCTCTGCCAATTTCTCCTCTATTTTCTTTACTTTAATCTTGATCTTTTTCTTGTGATCTTTGTTATTTCAATTCGTCATTATTCTGAATTCCTGCGTTCGAGGCGATTTTTCCCAACAGTATCTTGATAGTTTTATTGGATATGCAGAACTTGCATCCTGTAAAACTAAATTTTGTCCAATTACTTCAGCCGAATATTGTGACATCCCTAACATATGAAGGAATTATTATTGGAATTTTTGACATCCCAAGTCTAAGCAATATTGTTTATTTTGGCCAAATATTCGAAGGATCCAAGGTTATATGCGAATTATGAATTGTGTACATAAACAGGTTGCGTCGAATTACATTTCATAATATATAATTTGAGCAATTTGTCCATGAAGGACAAAACAGGCTATCCAAATCCGGAGTTGGTAATGAACTCTTCTTCGTGTTCTGAACTCTTAAAGGCGGCATTATACGAGTCATTGGTATTTCTTAAGCATTATACGAGTCATTGGTAGTTTCTTAGCAGTCATCGAATCCGATTATTATAGCATTCAGTTTTACAGAATACTCTTTTCGATTAACAACACCATCTTGAATTCTTAAAATTCTAGAACAGTGACTTAGGCGGAGGCACCATGACCATGAAGAAAGCCAAATAAATTGCCAAGATGCTGTGTTACATTCATTTGAAACTAAAGATAGATACTTGAACATTCAGAAAGCTGATTTTTATGGAAGCAATTATTCAGATTTTTGTTAAATAATTCATCTTAGACTATCATTTAAATTCATCTTACTGAGTAGAAGGTCTAAGCAGAGAAGTCGTTCTAAGCACCAGATATGTCTACGTGGTGACAGAGGTCAAACTATGAAAACAAGGCATACATCTTCGAAAACTACATTTGTGAAATCTTGAAGAGAGTAAATC